TTTGTAGAGATAGAGAGACAAAGGCTTTTCGGGTGCAAGAGGAAGATATGTCTGTATATATATATATGTATTACAATACTAGCTATGTGCGTATGTAATAAGGAAATGCCCAGTTTGGTTTTGGCCTTTTATTTATTACCCGCAAATTTACCATTGTTGAAATATTAATTACTTCCCGGTGATCTTTCCATGTACGGTCTCCCAATAAACTTTCGGACTTTGCTTTCGTGTTTTCATATGTAATATTATTTTTCTATATAATATTATTCAGTAAAAAAAATATATATTAATTAATAATTGGGAATATTTGATTTAATCTTTTTCGATAAAAATAAAATTAGATTACTTTAGGCTTCTAATCTACGTTTAATTACCGCGATAAAATAAAATTAACCAAATAATCTAATTTCGTAAATATATTTTGGTTCTATTTCGAATTCAGACTTAACCTACATAATATCTTCTCGTAATCAAAACTTTGACAAGACCAAGATAGATTCTGTGTAACGATTACAGAAAATAATTTTTTTAAAAGTTAATTAACGCCTATCAAATCAAACAATCTAATAACTTGGTGACACGAATATAGCTTTTGTTTGTCTTTCAATTCCACTTTATAACTGCTATTTGTATTGAATAATTATTATATATTAATTATCATCGCTGATCCAGGTTCTGAATGGAAACCGTGTATTGTAAGAAAAACAAGTGCGAGGCTAATGAAACATGTGTATAGATAAAACTTCGTTACCATTCTATCCAGGACACCATCTTCACCTTCATTAACCATTTAACTCTCACTAAAGCAAAAGACACAATCTTTGATCCTTGTTTTAGTGAGATAGCACGGGAGCACCACTAGTCCACTTGTTCTCCTCCGATTGGACATCAATTTAGGTGATAAAAAAAAGCACATCAAACAAACATTATGTAGCTATAGGTATAAAGGTGCAACTTGAAAATCGAAATCCGAAGAAGCAATAAAACATTTATGTATTTAGTGTCAAATGGAACCACCCGAAGAAGTCTATGAGAGCCTATGAACATGTTCACTTTAAGGCCGAACAAAAGGCCTAAAACCTTTGGGCTTAAGCCCACATTTTTAATGTTTTGCGTTTTATGAAAAGACAAATAAAATTCCCTCTAAAAAAATGTATTTCCCTCCAAGAAGTCAAAATGAATAATTTCAAACCCTTTTTTTTTTTTTTTTGGTAAAATTAATTTCAAACCCTTATCTTTGACAAATCTTCTCCTACAAATTTCTTCCTTCTTCAACCTCTCGATCTCTCTCTATATATACAATCGACAAGTTATTCACCATCGCTACCTAAAATCACAAACAAGTTTACCCTTTTACTCCCCTTTTTTCATCCTCCACTCACGATATTCTCTTATCAAGTCTCTGCCATGACGACACTTCAAGCTTCGATTTTGCTCGGAACCCTCGACAGTGACATCGCCAGAGATGTTGTCGCCGATCAGGAACGTCGTGGGTCAGGATCTGTTCATGTTATCATGGGTCCTATGTTTTCTGGGAAATCGACCTCTCTTCTCCGACGAATCAAGTCAGAGATCAGCGACGGAAGGTAAAAATTTATAAACCATCTACACAGATCTGAGTTTGTGTTTGTGGGTAAGATTCGAATTTAACTATTCAAAGATCTAATTTTCTTAAGTTCGTCTTTTGGGTATGTAGAAGCGTTGCGATATTGAAATCGAGTAAAGATACGAGATACGCCAAAGATTCGGTAGTGACACATGATGGAATTGGATTCCCTTGCTGGGCTCTTCCAGATCTCATGTCATTTCCTGACAAATTCGGACAAGATGCTTACGACAAGGTAATTTCAATTTCTATGGTTTTTTCTTGGAGATTCTGGAAATTGAAACTGTTCATTCACAAGTCTTGATTGATTTTTTTTTGTCTTGTTTCAGCTTGATGTGATTGGTATTGATGAGGCTCAGTTTTTTGGAGATCTTTATGAGTTTTGCTGCAAAGTAGCTGATGATGATGGCAAAACTGTGATTGTTGCAGGTCTAGATGGTGACTATTTAAGGTGTGAATTTGATACTTTCAACTTCAAATTTCATGAATTTTTTTTTTTTAAACTATAATGTGGATATGTGAATGTGACCTTTCCATATGCAGAAGGAGTTTTGGTGCTGTTCTTGACATTATACCAATAGCTGATTCAGTGACCAAGTTAACTGCAAGGTGTGAGGTTTGTGGACAGAAAGGTTTCTTCACTTTAAGAAAGACTTGTGACACTAGAACCGAGTTCATCGGTGGAGCTGATGTCTATATGCCTGTTTGTCGCAAGCATTACTTTAGTAATCAAATTGTCATCGAATCTTCGAAGAAAATGTTGGATTCTGACAAGGCAAGAGCTGAATCCTGTGTGGAGACGGTTGCTGCTATGATATAACTATATTTAGTTGATATGGAAACAAGTAAAACATAGTGAAATC